TTCAGCCAACTTGACACAACTGTGGGAAGCATTGGACTCAACGGGGGCCAGTATCCCTGTGAAACGCTTTCAACACATTGTAGAGTCGATGCCCTGACGAATTGAGGCTGTTCTGAGGGCAAAAGGGGGGGTGCAACTCAATATTAGGAAGTTGATTTGAGGATTCCATTTTCTGAGAGTAAAAGAACATACTTATCAAGGACTAACCTCATCAAGGACATGAATCGGTATCCCAGTACGCCAGCATTCCAGAATCTTGACCTAATTCCTAATTTACATCTCACACACACACATTACATTAATAAACGTAATATTGGAGTCTTCAGATCATGTATTTTGTACATCAATAATGAGTTTATTACAAAATCTGAGAACCCAACTTTACACTGTACAAGATAAGTTGTTTATAGCTGTAATAATATATTTACAAAAGTACCATTGTCTGCGTATCAAAGTGATTATCTAAAAAGGCATGTTTCAATCACTGTAAGCTTTTATAGAAGTAAGGCAAAATACTTGAAACTGGATGTACATTTTTGCAGATCAAGTGAAAGTTGTCATCTACTGTATCTACAGTGCCTTGCAAAAGTATTCATCCCCCTTGGCATTTTTCCTACTTTGTTGCTTTACAACCTGTAATTTAAATGGATTTTTATTTGGATTTCATGTAATGGACATACACAAAATAGTCAAAATTGCTGAAGTGAAATGAAAAACCAACTTGTTTAAAGAAATCCTAAAAAATAAATAACGAAAAGTGGTGTGTGCATATGTATTCACCCCCTTTGCTATGAAGCCCCTAAATAAGATCTGGTGCAACCAATTACCTCCAGAAGTCACATAATTAGCTAAATAAAGTCCACCTGTGTGCAATCTAAGTGTCACATGATCTGTCACATGATCTCAGTATATATACAACTGTTCTGAAAGGCCCCAGAGTCTGCAACACAACTAAGCAAGGGGCATCACCAAGCAAGCGGCACCATGAAGACCAAGGAGCTCTCCAAACAGGTCAGGGACAAAGTTGTGGAGAAGTACAGATCAGGGTTGGGTTATAAAAAAATATCAGAAACTTTGAACATCCCATGGAGCACCATTAAATCCATTATTAAAAAATTGAAAGAATATGGCACCACAACAAACCTGCCAAGAGAGGGCTGCCCACCAAAACTCACGGACCAGGCAAGGAGGGCATTAATCAGGGAGGCAACAAAGAGACCTAAGATAACCCTGAAGGAGCTGCAAAACTCCACAGCGGAGATTGGAGTATCTGTCCATAGGACCACTTTAAGCTGTACACTCCACAGAGCTGGGCTTTATGAAAGAGTGGCCAGAAAAAAGCCAGTGCTTAAAGAAAAAAATAAGCAAACACGTTTGGTGTTCGCCAAAAGGCATGTGGGAGCTTTTTGGCCATCAAGGAAAACGCTATGTCTGGCGTAAACCCAACACCTCTCATCACCCCGAGAACACCATCCCCACAGTGAAGCATGGTGGTGGCAGCATCATGCTGTGGGGATGTTTTTCATCTGCAGGGACTGGGAAACTGGTCAGAATTGAAGGAATGATGGATGGCGCTAAATACAGGGAAATTCTTGAGGGAAACCTGTTTCAGTCTTCCAGAGATTTGAGACTGGGACGGATGTTCACCTTCCAGCAGGACAATGACCCTAAGCATACTGCTAACGCAACACTCGAGTGGTTTAAGGGGAAACATTTAAATGTATTGGAATGGCCTAGTCAAAGCCCAGACCTCAATCCAATTGAGAATCTGTGGTATGACTTAAATAATAATAATAATATGCCATTTAGCAGACGCTTTTATCCAAAGCGACTTACAGTCATGTGTGCATACATTTTTACGTATGGGTGGTCCCGGGGATCAAACCCACTACCCTGGCGTTACAAGCGCCATGCTCTACTAATTGAGCTACAGAGGGCCACGATTGCTGTACACCAGTGGGACCAATCCAACTTGAAGGAGCTGGAGCAGTTTTGCCTTGAAGAATGGGGAAAAAATCCCAGTGGCTAGATGTGCCAAGCTTATAGAGACATACCCCCAAGAGACTTGCAGCTGTAATTGCTGCAAAAGGTGGCTCTACAAATATTTGACTTTGGGGGGAGTGAATAGTTATGCACGCTCAAGTTTTCTGTTTTTTTGTCTTATTTCTTGTTTTAAATTCCAGGTTGTAAGGCAATAAAATAGGAAAAGTACCAAGGGGGTGAATACTTTCGCAAGCCACTGTATCTAATGGTCAGGCTTAGTTTACAATATGGGAGCTGGAAACTGTGATTCTGCAGCTCCTATAGAGTTTAAAGTCTGTACTTATTTGCAGAATACTGATTTTGTGTGTGTGTGATGCTCACAGGGGTGCATGTGTGTGTGTGTGTGTGTGTGTGTGTGTTTGTGTACGTGCATGTGTGAAGGTGCGAGCTTTTATATGTCAGTAGATGTGTGTGAGTAAGACATACAGAACGTTTGTAATCTTACCGTTAACACTAACGCGACCGCACCAGGTTTGGCATTCACTAGAGTTCTATAGCACACATCAGTCAGACTCAGGGATAAGGACATTCTTATCACTCTGTGGGTCAAAGCCAATGTACTTTACCCAATGCCTCTCATACTGACCTCACTGTCAAAGCGTTGGCCACAGCCTACTGCGTGTGTAGCCAACAAAGGAAACACACTCCCACATGTAATCCTTATCAGAGCAGAGCAATGGACGAATAACAAGCCTTGATCATTACACAAGCTCAACAAGGTCACAGATGAAAACAAAGTGTGTTTATTTCTCCTGGTTGCCTATATTAGAAATAATACTATGTGACTTACCCTCATCCGATACATGTTTGTCTGTTTGGATCCATGAGACTTGAAAGATGTCATATGCAGTAAACCATATATCCTGCCTGTTGAGTGTTTCTGAAAAGCATTTGCCTGAATGACTTTTTCCATTCTTGCTCTAGAAATCTAGAGACCTACAGTTGAAGTCGGAAGTTTACATACACCTTAGCCAAATACATTTAAACTCAGTTTTTCACAATTCCTGACATTTAATCCTAGTAAAAATTCCCTGTTTTAGGTCAGTTAGGATCACCATTTTATTTTAAGAATGTGAAATGTCAGAATAATAGTAGAGAGAATTATTTATTTCAGCTTTTATTTCTTTCATCACATACCCAGTGGGTCAGAAGTTTACATACACTCAATTAGTATTTAGTAGCATTGCCTTTAAATTGTTTAACTTGGGTCAAACGTTTCGGGTAGCCTTCCACAAGCTTCCCACAATAAGTTGGGGGAATTTTGGCCCATTCCTCCTGACAGAGCTGGTGTAACTGAGTCAGGTTTGTAGGCCTCCTTGCTTGCACACGCTTTTTCAGTTCTGCCCACACATTTTCTATAGGATTGAGGTCAGGGCTCTGTGATGGCCAATCCAATACCTTGACTTTGTTGTCCTTAAGCCATTTTGCCACAACTTGGGGTCATTGTCCATTTGGAAGACCCATTTGCGACCAAGCTTTAACTGCCTGACTGATGTCTTGAGATGTTGCTTCAATATATCCACATATTTTTCCTTCCTCATGATGCCATCTATTTTGTGAAGTGCACCAGTCCCTCCTGCAGCAAAGCACCCCCACAGCATGATGCTGCCACCCCCGTGCTTCAGGGTTGGGATGGTGTTCTTTGGCTTGCAAGCCAACCCCTTTTTCCTCCAAACATAATGATGGTCATTATGGCCAAACAGTTCTATTTTTGTTTCATCAGACCAGAGGACATTTCTCCAAAAAGTACGATCTTTGTCCCCATGTGCAGTTGCAAACCGTAGTCTAGCTTTTTTATGGCGGTTTTGGAGCAGTGGCTTCTTCCTTGCTGAGCGGCCTTTCAGGTTATGTCGATATAAACTCGTTTATAATCTGTCTGTAAACAATTGTTGGAGAAATTACTTGTGTCATGCACAAAGTAGATGTCCTAACCGACTTGCCAAAACTATAGTTTGTTAACAAGAAATTTGTGGAGTGGTTGAAAAACGAGTTTGAATGACTCCAACCTAAGTGTACGTAAACTTCCGACTTCAACTGTAGATGGCATTTGTGCTCCTGTTGTGAAGGACGATGTACTAAACCACAGGATCTTAGAGGAGCTCATTGCTTTGGTTTGCACACAACGGGGAACCAGACCAGTCAATCTATCCTAGCAGTATGAGCAGCACTATCAGTTCATATGAAGACCTTTCAAAAGCCTTTTGAGATTGAGAACTCTTTGAATGTATAAAAACATATTTGTGCTAATTCGTTTAAGATTTAAGAACACCCACATGCATACACACATATAAATATTTGTGTAGAAATACACACTTGCATGCATACCAAACGCACAGTACACAGACTGTATTTACACTGTGAAGGATGGAATGTATCCTTGGCATAATCAGAGAAGACATAGAAAAGCAGTAATAACATGATCAGTCCTCTTATAAATTTATGTGGATAATACTGGGTTGTGTGTGCATGACACCTTGTTGGGACTGTACACACACAGAGGGACGACACACTGTTACGTGGCTGTCACCCTCACTCATACTCCTGGTAATTAAGTCATCAGGAGCGTGGTGTTCCAATCCTGGAAGCTGGAATTCTTCAGTTGATTGTATGTGGTTCCAAACAGTAGCAAGTCACAACTACTGTCATAACAACTTACACAAACCCAATGAGGTCTGCAGGTTGATTGCAATTGGGATTTTATACAAATGCCACCACCCTTGGTGTGATTGTCCAATCTGATATCTATTCTGACCATCCTCAGAGCCAGGTAACTCCTGGAGGAGCATCCCTCCATTGTGCAGTGGACTGTCCCAGTATCCCAGTATCCCAGTTACCCACAGGAGACCCTGGTTCAGTCTGTAGTGGGACCCTCAGTGGATCTAGTCCTGATGGATGTTATAGCCCAGGATGCTGGAGCTCAAGTTTACAATAGTGCAGCTCTTCTTCTCTCCACCTACCTACACTGCCACTCCTCCCACATCTACCTCTGTCTCCTCTTCTTCATTCTCCTCTCCCAGAGTGGGCACGCAGCGCGAGGGCAAGCATGGTGCAGGGTGGACGTTGACACTGGGGCTAGAGCTGCTGTTACCCATGCCACCGAGGCTGACCATGCTGGCACGGACAGTGAAGCTGGCGACAGAGTTGACGCTGCCCAGTTTGGTGGGAATGCTGGCCTTACCGCAGGAGTGGGCGCGGCGGTTCAGGCTGGCAGAGCGCACCACGGAGGACGTGGGGGCGCAGCCGGTGCTGTGGACCTTGCCCTCCAGGAAGTAGGTGAGCATCTCACCCTTACCCTTCACGCTGACCTTGCCCCGGCACACCAGGTCATAGTTATCCCCCAGGATCCGGTACACATCCTCTGTTACCTTGGGGAGGGAGGGAGGGAAGGAGGAAGGAAGAGAAAGAGAGAGAGAGAGAGGTTAAACCACTGTCATACAACAAGATTTACAGTGGCTTGCGAAAGTATTCACCCCCCTTGGCACTTTTCCTATTTTGTTGCCTTACAACCTGGAATTAAAATTGATTTTTGGGGGGTTTGTATCATTTGATTTACACAACATGCCTACCACTTTGAAGATCCAAAATATTTTTCCTTGTGAAACAAACAAGAAATAAGACATAAAAACAGAAAACTTGAGCGGGCATAACTATTCACTCCCCCAAAGTCAAAACTTTGTAGAGCCACCTTTTGCAGCAATTACAGCTACAAGTCTCTTGGGGTATATCTCTATAAGCTTGGCACATCTAGCCACTGGGATTTTTGCCCATTCTTCAAGGCAAAACTGCTCCAGCTCTTTCAAGTTGGATGGGTTCCACTGGTGTACAGCAATCTTTAAGTCATCACATAGATTCTCAATTGGATTGAGGTCTGGGCTTTGACTAGGCCATTCCAAGACATTTAAATGTTTCCCACTGTCCTGCTGGAAGGTGAACCTCCGTCCCAGTCTCAAATCTCTGTTTTCCTTGATGGCCAAAAAGCTCAATTCTACTCTCATCTGACCAGAGTACCTTCTTCCATATGTTTGGGGAGTCTCCCACATGCCTTTTGGCGAACACCAAACGTGTTTGCTTATTTTTTACTTTAAGCAATGGCTTTTTTCTGGCTGCTCTTCCGTAAAGCCCAGCTCTGTGGAGTGTACAGCTTAAAGTGGTCCTATGGACAGATACTCCAATCTCCGCTGTGGAGCTTTGCAGCTCCTTCAGGGTTATCTTAGGTCTCTTTGTTGCCTCTCTGATTAATGCCCTCCTTGCCTGGTCCGTGAGTTTTGGTGGGCGGCCCTCTCTTGGCAGGTTTGTTGTGGTGCCATATTCTTTCAATTTTTTTATAATGGATTTAATGGTGCTCCGTGGGATGTTCAAAGTTTCTGATATTTTTTTATAACCCAACCCTGATCTGTACTTCTCCACAACTTTGTCCCTGACCTGTTTGGAGAGCTCCTTGGTCTTCATGGTGCAGCTTGCTTGGTGGTGCCCCTTGCTTAGTTGTGTTGCAGACTCTGGGGCCTTTCAGAACAGGTGTATATATACTGAGATCATATGACAGATCATGTGACACTTAGATTGCACACAGGTGGACTTTATTTAGCTAATTATGTGCCTTCTGAAGGTAATTGGTTGCACCAGATCTTATTTAGGGGCTTCATAGCAAAGGGGGTGAATACATATGCACACACCACTTTTCTGTTATTTATTTTTTAGAATTTTTTGAAACAAGTTATTTTTTTCATTTCACTTCACCAATTTGGACTATTTTGTGTATGTCCATTACATGAAATCCAAATAAAAATCAATTTAAATTACAGGTTGTAATGCAACAAAATACGAAAAACGCCAAGGGGGATGAATACTTTTGCAAGGCACTGTACTCTGAGCCAATCAACAGGCCTCAATCGTAACTCATAATGTAGTACAGTACACAGACACACGCACAGATCGGGCTCAACCAGTGCCCGAGCACTTGCCCTTTTGCCCTCCTATGAAAAGGTGCCCTAGCAGCTCGGTGTTTAAAAAAAAAGTAGTCTTTTAATTTTTGTTTTAATTTTAAATGTAACAAATTGCACATCAAACTATCTGATTTGATAATCTCTTAAATCTCAGAAAATACCCTCTCCCCCGCCGTCCCGCCCAAAGAGCGCACTGCTCTGACTTGCATGCGTGGCCACTGGCTGCGGGCACTAGGCGGGGAGACATGAATAGGCCAATTTGTAGGAGGCTACTTTTGAGTTGGGTCTGTCATTGGTGTCTCTCACTGTTATGGTCAAAGAATGGGGCAATCTGACTGCTTGTTAGTAAGAGGCAAATGTCAGCAGCAGAACAAACTCAAATCAAGTAAAAACTAGTTTGTTTCCGACAGCATAGCTAATTAGCTAGCATATATAGCCTACATCATAATTCGCTCTGATCAGCTGATAGCCACTCTTTTCGCCATGTCAATCATCTCATGTTCTTTCTTGGCCTAGGAGTCACTGGCACTAGCTTGCCTACAATGTGTGATGAGTGAGTGTGTTGTTGCAGGAAATATATAGGCCTATAAATGTTGACATTTTGCCTACAAAGGCAGTTGGTATGTTTTGAATTTAGAGTTATGAATTATGAAACTCTGTGCACGGCCCTAACAGTACCTGTATCTTGCCAGGGACTCCGGTGCTGTCCATGCGGCTGGCCACATTCACTGTGTTCCCCCAGATATCATACTGAGGCCTCCTGGCCCCGATCACCCCCGCCACAACTGGACCCACATTGATACCCACTCTCAAGACAAAGTCGTTGTATGACTGGTAGTTGATTTCATCCAGCACATCGAACATCTCAATAGCATAGTCTGCCACTGTGCTCAGGTGATCATAGACCGATTTTTTGTCCTATGATGGGATTAAGGAAGTAAACAAAGATTACATTTAATTATCAGTCATTCATTGTCCTCGTTATATTCATAATTTCTTTAATTTAACGAACACAGGCAAGACCGCACCGCACACACTCACACAAACACACAAACACACACACTTGCCTTTGTTCCGATGGTGGGGACTAGACCCACAGCTGCCATATACGTGCTGCCAATGGTTTTGATCTTCTCTATGTCCTTATAGCATTCTTTATCCATGAGCTGAGGAAAAATTTGATTCACATCTATACAGTGGAGAAGCCAACAAATAATGTTCATTTCCCAGTAAACTGTAGCAGCCAACATCCTCACCTCGTCAAAATCAGCAATGATTTCATTGAGTAGTCTCAGACACTCCACTCCCATGTTGTTCCCATCCAGCTCAATGTAGAAGTCATTGAAGTTGGGAATGGAAGCAAACAGCACTCCGACTTGGGCATAGGACTGATAATACAGATCCTATAGGAAAACACATAGCCAACCTTAGTCACTAGGCCAAATAGGTATACTGTATATTGAACAAAAATATAAATGCAACATGTAAAGTGTTGGTTTCATGAGCTGAAATAAAAGATCCCAGAAATGTTCCATACGCACAGAAAGCTTATTTCTCTCAAATTTTGTGCACAGATTTGTTTACATCCCTGTTAGTGAGCATTTCTCCTTTGCCAAGATAATCCATCCACCTGACAGGTGTGGTATATCAAGAATCCCCTTTTGCTGGGGACAATAAAAGGCCACTCTAAAATGTGTAGTTTTGTCACACAACACAATGCCACAGATGTCTGAAGTTTTGAGGGAGCGTGCAATTGGCATGCTGACTGCAGGAATGTCCACCAGAGCTGTTGTCAGAGAATTGAATGTTAATTTCTATACCATAAGCCTATACAATGTCGTTTTAGAGAATTTGGCAGTACGTCCAACCGGCCTCACGACCGCAGACCATTTGTAACCACGCCAGCCCAGGACCTCCACTTTCGGCTTCTTCACCTGCGGGATTGTCTGAGATCAGCCACCCGGACAGCTGATGAAACTGAGTAGTATTTATGTCTGTAATAAAGCCCTTTCGTGGGGAAAAACTCATTCTGATTGGCTGGGCCTGGCTTCCCAGTGGGTGGACCTGGCTCCCAAGTGGGCTGCGCCCCTGACCAGTCATGTGAAATCCATAGATTTGAGCCTAATGAATTTATTTAAATTGACTGATTTCCTTATATGAACTATATCTCAGTAAAATCGTTGAAATTGTTGCATGTTGCGTTTATATTTTTTTGTTTTGTGTATAATGTGTTTTTTTATCATGTGATCAATACAAGGTACTATTAATCACACTATTGATCCTTTGAAGGAAAGGTAATATCCTTCATGAAACAATACTGTTTGTGTCTGTCTGCCTGCCTGCCTGCCTGCCTGCCTGCCTGCGTCTGTCTGTCTATCTGTCCGTCCGTCTATGTAGGACTCACCATGTTTCTGGGGTTGGACAGGAGGAAGTGTTGCGCCACATGAGCAGGAAGCAGGTTGAAGAGAATCCTCCTGTTGTCCAGCTTGACCTTCTCCATGCCATCCCTCTCCTCCTCTGCCTGACAACACACACACACACACACACACACACACACACACACACAAACACAAACACACACACAACAATTTGAATAAAACCGGAACCTTATATTCACCCCACAGTACAACTCAAGCCTGCAGTTCAAAGCTCATACCACAAGGTGCCAGTATAAACTCTAAATGTACACCTGAACTGAGGCACCGTGTTAGCCTGACATTGTGGACAAGGAGCACTGGGAAGAATCAATAGTTAAAGGTCCAAACCTAAAGCCAAACCCTACTAGAGACTATAACTGTCCTACCAGCCAAGCGGCTCTATTGTACCCAACCATGTCAATATCAATGACTTGTCCTGACCTATCCTTACCAACCATGCCAATATCACCCTCTTGTCCTACCTAGTGTTGCAAAATTCCGGGAACATTCAATAAATTCCCTGGTTTTCCAGAATTCCTGGTTGGAGGATTCCGGATTTCCGTGATCCTCCAACTGGGATTTGGAGAAAACCAGGGATTTTATTGAAAGTTCCCGGAATTTTGCAACCCTTGTCCTATCATAACCAACCATGTCAATATCAGTCCCTTGTCCCATCGTAACCAACCATGTCAATATCAGCCCTGTGTCCTATCGTAACCAACCATGCCAATATCAGCCACCACCATGCTAGCAACTGCCAGCAGCTTTAACAGCCAAAAGCCTCCAAATATGACTTGGCATGGTATGCTCACAACAGAAGGCTGGAGGATGAGTAAAGCATGGTTTTCATAAGCTAGCTAGATCTATGCATAGGACAACAGCTCATACAGTCACACACACACAAAGTCACACACACACACACCTGTGTGGCCCAAAGAAAGTCCAGTCGTAGTTTGAGGTCCAGCTGTCTGGAGTGGAGGGCCAGGGCACTGGTGAACAGTAGCAGGGACAGGATGGGCTCATAGCCCTGGATCTGGAGATTAGACCCCCCACTGTGGGACAAACCAACAGAGACGTCAGCAACAATCTTCAAAAGGAAGACCAACAGAGACCCCCCCGCCCCACCAACAGAGATGTTAGCAACATAAGTCATACACAGTAGGACTGTACCACATCATTAATTAACAGGGGAAGTGGGGAGATGTGGATAGACCCCCCACTGTGGGAACAGACTAACAGTGACGTCAGCAACATAATACAGTAGGACTGTACAACATCATTAAAAAAAGGGGGAGTGGGGGACCACATAAATACTGTGGGGAGTACAACTTCACAGGGGAGATATGGAGGGACCCCCCACTTTGTGAGAACCAACTTTGATGTCAGCAACATACATTAGAACTGGACCACTACACAAATAATTAAGGGGGTGGACTGTGGATGAAACCACAAGTGAGAACCAACAGTGATATCATTTGACATTTTAGTCATTTAGCAGACGCTCTTATCCAGAGCGACATACAATTAGTGAGTGCATACATTTTTCATACTGGCCCCCCGTGTGGCCACAAACCCACAATCACAGGAAAACACGGACAGGGTGACCTAAACCAGCAGTGATATAAACACCATTCACTCAGCACAGATATAGTATTTAGGGATAATAAGGCCCCTTCAGAGAACGACAAGTAGTTTTCCATCTCAATGATATCAGAGTTTTTCAACATTATACAGTAAGCCAGGGTTCCCCAACTGGCAGCCTCCCAAGTTTTCTGAGCCAAGAAATAATACCCAAACTTATTTTTATTGTTGGACATAAAAGACTGTAAAAACAGCAGCAAACCAGTTCCAGGTGATTTTAATTTTGGAAATCTGTTCCAAAGTATTCCCACACATTATAGAGAGATACTGTATAATATATTGTATAATATACAGCATCTCCCTATCCTCGCATAATAGAGAGATGCTGCGTGGGAATACTTTGAACAGATTTCCAAAATTAAACTCACTTGGAGCTGATTTGCTGGTGTATTTACAGTATTTTATGTCCACCAATAATGTGATCATATACAAATGTAAGCAAGGTTTGAAATTATTACGTTTTAGTCAAATATTATATATGTTTGGGCTTCTTGCAGTCAATTTGCAGCCTAAAAATGATTTGTAATTATGTTCCGGCCCCCTGACCATCTCCTCAAGAAAGAAATCGTCCCGTGGCTGAATCTAGTTGATGATTCCTGCAGTAAACCATCTGTTTGTAGCTATACAATGGGTCTGTGCTCTGAGCTGCACTAGGTCCTGGGTACTGAGTAGGAGTAGCTAACATGCTTGGCTGAATCAAGCAAAAGCATACATTGTAAGCTCAGCCTTTTGGTTTAGAGTTAATGAGCATGTACTGTGTGTCTCCTCCTCAAAGAGAGAGTTCCCATGAGAGTGCGCAAGTCGAGGACAAGCAAAGACTCCTCTCCTCCTACACATGTCCCCACAAAATGGAAATGTCCCTGTGACTGTTGTTTGTTTGTTCCCACTCCAAATCAAACCAAGAGGAAACCGTAGCTGACACTACTGTCATGTAAAATCCATCATGGCCTTAGATACGTGAGTGACAGGGGAGCATAGTGAATCTGAGGGGTATAGCTTTAGGACTGACAGTGAGAGGATGATGGGTGTATTTGTCCTTAGTTTTTTCCCCCTCACCCTCCTGTGTGTGTATCAGTGGAGGCTGCTGAGGAGAGGAAGGCTCATAATAATGGCTGGAATGGAGTGTATAGCTGGAATGGAGTGAATGGCACGGTATCAAACACGTGTTTGATACCATTCCATTTACTCCATCCCATTTACTCCATTCCGTCCTCCCCTCAGCAGCCTCCACTGGTGTGTGTGCTTGTTTATATACATAATGTTTGTGTGTCCTCTCCCTCACCCGGCGGTGTATGCGCGCCTGTGTGTATATATGTATGTTCTGTCCTCTCTCTTACCCGGCGGTGCGTCTGAATCCACTGAGCTCCAGCACAGTGACATACAGCACCCCCAGCAGTAGCAACAGGGCCATCTTTGGCATCCAGGAGACGCGCAGGAAGAGCGCCAGTGTCAGCGTGCCAACAATGCACGACAGGAAGGCGTAGCGGACACCGTCGCACGGCAGCTCTATCATGGTGCGGTTGGCATCGTCGCTCGCGTCAATGATGACAATGGAACTGTTAGAGTGGTGGGCACTGCCCCACAGCCACGGCATGCAGCCCACCTGGGAGAGAAGGAGAGGAGAGGATGGTAAAAACCCTCAAGCAGTAATTTGAAGGTTGGTTCTTTGCATATTTGATTCACATGACATTTACGTTTATGATTTCAAGTGTATTGCAATGAATATCATGAATATTGATATTTTAGTGCCATGTTGTTAACCTTACTTACCACACAGGCCTGGGCTACAGCATAGATTAAGAGCACTATGAGAACACACAGAACAGTACGGATCTGAATGGTGAGGCACCCTGGAAAACACTGAGAAACAGATTAAGGATGAAAGTGGAGGGAGAGTAGAAAAGCTTACCACACAGAATTTGAATTTGAAAAGACTCATAACTTAATTTATGTAATATTAGCTGAGGGGTTTAGGGAAGTTGGAAAAAGTCAATCTGTCAACCTCAACAAAAGCTGAAATTAATAGAGTTAGCATTGAGTTCGAAGGCAAACTGAGTGTACTGGGAAACTTTTTCTGAAGGCCATTGACATCAATTTACATATAGAATATTCTCATTATCAACTACTTATGAAAATATAATGTAATCTTTGCCGATGTCAGCAGAACATTTATATATTTGCAAAATTAACTAACTTATCACAAATTACTTATAGCTTGGGCCAAGAGTTTTTCGTGACCACTTGACCTACCCATGGAAAACTACTTACAGCTAATCAACCCTGCAGAAAAGTGAGTGAATGAATAAGTAAAATAATGTTAAATCAGTTGGACCAAGGCATCAAGTAGGCATTTACCTGTAATTTAGTGACATGCAGGTACATGATACAAACTACTAGGAAACAGATGCAGAAGACCAATAGGACCAGAACCACTGTTCCCCTGGTGACAGCAGCAGGAGAGAGGAGGAATTGGGGAAAGAGAGGAGGAGAAGAAGAGTTAGTGAGTTAGTGGACAGAGCCTGTGGAAGTCAACTCAAGGGGCAGCAGATCAAAAGGAAAAAAAAGAGAGAGATAGAGTGTATGTTGCTGTTATATATCATACAGCCAAATGAAAGAGAGAAAGAGAGCTAGAAAAATAGTGTGTTGCTGTCCGATATCATATACTAAAATGAGAGAGAGAGCGAGAGAGAGAGCGAGAGAGAGAAAGAGAGAGAGATAAAGAGAGAGCAAGAGATAAAGAGAGAGGGACAGAGAAAGAGAGAGCTACAACATGTGTTGTAGGATGATATCCTCTAATAATCTAGTACATACTGTGGTAGGATGATATCCTCTAATAATCTAGTACATACTGTGGTAGGATGATATCCTCTAATAATCTAGTACATACTGTGGTAGGATGAGAAGGTAGACAAGACCAAACAAGGCAGCTAGAATTAGAGAGAGGACCACGGCGCTGGTGAAGTACTCATCATGGAGCTGGTGGTACTGTCAGAGCAACCAGAGAGAGGGATGTCTCAGATAAAACAATTATTAAAGCATCTTATGGGTGTATTGTCTATCAAAACATCTCATTCAAAAGTAATTGTATTCCTTACGTTGCAATGTTTGCGTGTGAATGTCTGTGCATGTATGTTGTAGTATAGTTACTCACCCTCTGCTCGCGCTCAGAGCACTTATACATGAGTGTGAGAAAGTTGAGGTCAGCTGTGTCTGACTCTGTCTGCCTCGCCTCAATTAGACGACCAATGTAGCGGTTGACCCGCGTTCCCGGGCTGGCCTGGGTCACGTTAGCCGACAACGACGTCCGGTTCCGCAGCTTCTCTGGAGCCGTCCGCAGGGCCCTCCGCTGTGGCACAGCATTGTGGGAAACGGAATCCTGACTTAACTACGTTCAGAGGGTTTGATACCAGCTGTTCAAAACAATGGGGCATGGAGGAAATAGATTGCTGGGCCTCTACTGTCTATTGTTGGGTATCATTGTGGGGGAGAGAGATACTTAACTAGAAACACAAAAAGGTTGTTCTAATAGTACTCCAAACTTAAAATGTCTGCAAGGGCAATCAAACAAAGTCAATCATTGTGGTTGACTTGACTTCACATTAATTGATAAGTGACATCAACATAATAAATGCTCATCTTCACACAACAAACAAAACATCAATTATTTACTCTACAGTTAACATTGATTATCTGACCTAACTAAACCCCCTTTTTTTAATTGTCCCTTGGAAGCATCATTATTGTACAGTAGGCTATGTGGGGCAGCAGAGCAAAAGCAGTGATTTGACACCAGTGGGAATGAGGATGTGTCCCAAATGGCACCCTATTCCCTTCATAGTGCTCTACTTTTGACCAGTAGTGCACTATATAGGGAATAGGGTGCCATTTAGGATGTAGCCTGAGTGAGTCTTCCTGGATAAAGTAAGAAAGCCAGTGAGCTGTACAGACTGAGGCCAATCAGTGTCACAGCGTGAGAAACAGTGGGTAAGCGAGGAGCGGCTGGAGCGGCTGGAGAGAGTGGCTTCATAATGGGGACGGGGGGGCGACAGAGCGAATGAGGATGGCTGAGGAAGGTTAACAAACACACACCCCACTGACTTCATCCTCATCACCCTTCATCCTTTAACACCCCTCAGTTTCTCTCGGTTGTTTTGGAGGCGTGTGTGCATTGATTGTGCTAATTCGTGTTTCTATGGCTCTCACCCCGTTCCTCTCCCGTCTCCCTCTCGCTTTCCCTCTAGTCTCTCTCTTTAGTCTCTCCATCTCCCACTCTGCATATGACCCAATTGTTTGGAGATGTGCCACGGAGCATAGGACACTCATCACATCACACACCCACGCCTGCTCCGAGGGCACTCATCCTTTCACTCCTTCCTCGTCTCCCATCTCCCGCTCTCCCTCTCCTTCTCTCTCTGAGTCCATTTGTCATTTCCGACAGCCTGGAGAGAGTGTGTGTGTGTGGCCTGAATCTGAATATCTCATTCTGTGTCGAATATATTTCAACACTCCAATCCCCTCCCTTTTGAAAGATATGTTTACATGCTTTCATCCAGGGTTATCACGAAGCATCAGAGCTCTATGACATATTATAGAAATGTAATCACAGATATTCTTATGCCCTTTACAGAATGATTGTACTAAGTTTTATGCTTTTATCTGAAAGGTCAAGATTATTTTGGCTCTTATCCGCTGGATTATATCTCCTTTCCCACACACACCCACACAGACCTGAGTATCTGGATTTAAGTATCCTGAGCCAGAGTTGAACTGAAGCCAGACTTTAGGATTTCTTTACAGGGACAGCAGGTCAAGTAAACACACTGACAATCAGCCATATTACCAAAGGAATTGAAAGTAAACTGATGAAGGTCAACTAAGTCTGGATGGTTGGGACACACACATTGCACATAGACACGTACACACACATGCATGCTCACACACGTACACATGTATGTACACATCTACACACATGTACTCGCATGTATACACAAACACACACTTTCTCTCTCCGTCTCTACATTCCCTTACACAACACACACACACACACAAGCATGCACAAAAACACACAAACTCACCCACACATATACAACACACACAAACATCCACACACATACAGACACTCAAAGATCTTACCTTGTCACCGTCCTCACAGTTCATGGCATTTGAGAAGGGGATCTCAGCCTTAAACATCTTCCTACAGTGCATGAGCTGCACAAGCAAGTAGCAAACTGTCTTAAACTTCATCTTTTTGGCAGGCTTTATATCCGATAGAATCAATCCTGGGAATATCTGTCAACAAACAAGCAGTGAAGGCAAGGATTAGGATACACACTATGATGCATACTTACAGGAAATGTACTGTAGATACACTTTATACGTTCACGGATAACTATGTTTCCATGTCAGATTACAGTACACAAACACATGCACACAAACACTATCTCTCCCTGTGGCGCATCTTCTCTGTCTCTTCTCTTTGATGAACTAGAGCTGTCGGCTCATCTATCAAGAGGATTAACCAAGCATGTGTCTCAAATGGCACCCTTTTTCCTATTTAGTGCACTACTTCAAAAGGAATGCTCTAAATAGAGAGCCATTTCGGACATAACCTTAGTCAAGTGTCCCACATCTCAGAGGAGGAGAGTAGAAGAGGGTTGGGGGGCTGAACGGCCCCCTGCGACAATAGTGTGACACTACTGTGAAGGTTCATTTATGGATCTACATACAGTTGAAGTCAGAAGTTTCCATACACTTTAGCCAAATACATTTAAACTCAGTTTTTTACAATTCCTGACATTTAATGCTAGTAAAAATTCCCTATTTTAGGTCAGTTAGGATCACCACTTTATTTTAAGAATGTGAAATGTCAGAATAATAGGAGAGAGAATTATTTATTTCAGCTTTTATTTCTTTCATCACATACCCAGTGGGTCAGAAGTTTACATACACTCAATTAGTATTTGGTAGCATTGCCTTTAAATTGTTTAACTTGGGTCAAACGTTTCGGGTAGCCATCCACAAGCTTCCCACAATAAGTTGGGTGAATTTTGGCCCATTCCTCCTGACAGAGCTGGTGTAACTGAGTCAGGTTTGTAGGCCTCCTTGCTCGCACACGCTTTTTCAGTTCTGCCCACAAATGTTCTATAGGATTGAGGTCAGGGCTTTGTGATGGCCACTCCAATACCTTGACTTTGTTGTCCTTGCCACAACTTTGGAAGTATGCTTGAGGTCATTGTCCATTTGGAAGACCCATTTCCGACCAAGCTTTAACTTCCTGTGGTCAGATGACGCAGATGCTAAGCTACAGGACTGTTTTGCTAGCACAGACTGGAACATGTTCCGGGATTCTTCAGATAGCATCAATAAGTGCATCGATGACGTCATCTCCACAGAGACCGTACGTACATACCCCAACCAGAAGCCATGGATTACAGGCAACATCCGCACTGAGCTAAAGGGTAGAGCTGCCGCTTTCAAGGAGCGGGACTCTAACCCGGAAGCTTATAAGAAATCCCGCTATGCCCTCCGACGAACCATCAAACAGGCAAAGAGTCAATACAGGACTAAGATTGAATCGTACTACACCGGCTCTGACGCTCTTCGGATGTGGCAGGGCTTGCAAACTATTACAGACTACAAAAGGAAGCACAGCCGCGAGTTGCCCAGTGACACAAGCCTACCAGACGAGCTAAACCACTTCTATGCTCGCTTCGAGGCAAGCAACACTGAAGCATGCATGAGAGCACGCTCTCCATAGCCGATTTGAGTAAGACTTTTAAGCAGGTCAACATTCACAAGGCCGCAGGGCCAGAAGGATTACCAGGACGTGTACTCCGAGCATGTGCTGACCAACTGGCAAGTGTCTTCACTGACATTTTCAACATGTCCCTGACTGAATCTGTAATACCGACATCTTTCAAGCAGACCACCATAGTCCCCGTGCCCAAGGACACTAAGATAACCTGCCTAAATGACTACCGACCCATAGCACTGACGTCTGTAGCCATGAAGTGCTTTGAAAGGCTGGTCAAGGCTCACATCAACACCATTATCCCAGAAACCCTAGACCCACTCCAATTTGCATACCGCCCCAACAGATCCACAGATGATGCAATCTCTATTGCACTCCACACTGCCCTTTCCCACCTGGACAAGAGGAACACCTACGTGAGAATGCTATTCATTGACTACAGCTCAGCATTCAACACCATAGTGCCCTCTAAGCTCATCACTAAGCTAAGGATCCTGGGACTAAACACCTCCCTCTGCAACTGGATCCTGGACTTCCTGATGGGCCGCCCCCAGGTGGTAAGGGTAGGTAACAACACATCTGCCACGCTGATCCTCAACACGGGGGCCCCTCAGGGGTGCGTGCTCAGTCCCCTCCTATACTCCCTGTTCAACCATGACTGCATGGCCAGGCACGACTCCAACACCATCATTAAGTTTGCCGACAATACAACAGTGGTAGGCCTGATCACCGACAACGATGAGACAGCCTATAGGGAGGAGGTCAGAGACCTGGCCGTGTGGTGCCAGGATAACAACCTCTCCCTCAACGTGACCAAGACAAAGGAGATGATTGTGGACTACAGGAAAAAAAAGAGGACTGAGCACGCCCCCATTCTCATCGACGGGGCTGTAGTGGAACAGGTTGAGAGCTTCAAGTTCCTTGGTGTCCACATCACCAACAACCTATCATGGTCCAAACACACCAAGACAGTCGTGAAGAGGGCACAACAAAGCCTATTCCCCCTCAGGAGACTGAAAAGATTTGGCATGGGTCCTCAGATCCTCAAAAAGTTATACAGCTGCACCAAAGAGAGCATCCTGACTGGTTGCATCACCGCCTGGTATGGCAACTGCTCGGCCTCCGACCGCAAGGCACTACAGAAGGTAGTGCGTACGGCCCAGTACCTCACTGGGGCCAAGCTCCCTGCCATCCAGGACCTCTATACCAGGCGGTGTCAGAGGAAGCCCCTCAAAATTGTAAAAGACTCCAGCCACCCTAGTCATAGACTGCTCTCTATGACTAGGGTGGCAAGCGGTACCGGAGCGCAAAGTCTAGGTCCAAAAGGCTTCTCAACAGCTTCTACCCCAAAGCCATAAGACTCCTGAACAGCTAATCATGGCTACCCGGACTATTTGCACTACCCCCCCACCCCCACCTCATCTTTTTACGCTGCTGCTACTCTGTTAATTATTTATGCATAGTCACTTTAACTCTACCCACATGTACATATTACCTCAACTAGCCGGTGCCCCCGCACATTGACTCTGCACCGGTACCCCCCCTGTATATAGCCTCCCTACTGTTATTTTATTTTACTTCTGCTCTTTTTTTCTCAACACTTTTTTGTTGTGGTTGTTTTATTTTACTTCTTTATTAAAAAAGAAATGCATTGTTGGTTAAGGGCTGTTAGTAAGCATTTCACGGTAATGTCTACACCTGTTGTATTCGGCGCATGTGGCAAATAAAATGTGATTTGATTTGATTTGATTTGACTGATGTCTTGAGATTTTGCTTCAATATATCCACCTAATTTTCCTTCCTCATGATGCCATCTATTTTGTGAAGTGCACCAGTCCCTCCTGCAGCAAAGCACCTCCACAGTATGATGCTGCCACCCCTGTGCTTCATGGTTGGGATGGTGTTCTTTGGCTTGCAAGGTACCCCCTTTTTCCTCCAAACATAACGATGGTCATTATGGCCAAACAGTTCTATTTTTGTTTCATCAGACCAGAGGACATTTCTCCAAAAAGTACGATCTTTGTCCCCATGTGCAGTTGCAAACTGTAGTCTGGCTTTTTTATGGTGGTTTTGAAGCAGTGGCTTCTTCCTTGCTGAGTGGCCTTTCAGGTTATGTCGATATAGGACTCGTTTTACTGTGGACATAGATACATTTGTACCTGTTTCCTCCAGCATCTTCACAAGGTCCTTTGCTGTTGTTCTGGGGTTGATTTGCACTTTTCTCACCAAAGTACGTTCATCTCTAGGAGACAGAATGCATCTCCTTCCTGAGCGGTATGACGGTTGCGTGGTCCCATGGTGTTTATACTTGCATACTATTGTTTGTACAGATGAACGTGGTACCTTCAGTCATTTGCAAATTGCTCCCAAGGATGAACCAGACTTGTGGAGGTCTACAGTTTTTTTCTGAGGTCTTGGCTGATTTCTTTTGATTTTCCCATGATGTCAAGCAAAGATGCACTCAGTTTGAAGGTAGGCCTTGAAATACATCCACAGGTACACCTCCAATTGACTCAAATTATGTCAATGAGCCTATCAGAAGCTTCTAAAGCCTTGACTTCATTTTCTGGAATTTTCCAAGCTGTTTAAAGGCACAGTCAACTTAATGTATGTAAACTTCTGACCCACTGGAACTGTGATACAGTGAATTATAAGTGAAATAATCTGTCTGTAAACAATTGTTGGAAAAATTACTTGTGTCATGCACAAAGTAGATGTCCTAACCGACTTGCCAAAACTATAGGTTGTTAACAAGAAATGTGTGGAGTGGTTGAAAAACGAGTTTTAATGACTTCAAGTGTATGTAAACTTCCGACTTCAACTGTACATAAAGCTCTTACATAATCTGAAACCTGACAGATAACAACGCAAAAAAAAATCCTACACTCATGCCTCCTTGCTTGTGGATTTATTAACCAACGTCTCGGCTAAAGAGCCTTGATTGTTTATCTTCCGTTTGTCAGCACCTCACCAGAGTGTGCATTGTTAATTTTTTTACAGCGTACCTGAGGAATAGCCAAGCAGCGGTTGATAAATACACAGGCATCAGGAAGTTAGACCTCCTCTCCAGACCTAATAAGGTCTGCAGGGTTGGAGAAGGGGAGAGCAGGAGAGGAAAGGAGATAGGCGATGATGAACTGACACGGATGTAAGACTGACATCCTCTCTCCAGCTGCTACTGGCACATCTGTTGGAGATGTGAAGACTAGAAGGGCATGGGGCGGGGGGTAATATGTGTGTGTGTGTGTGTGTGTGTGTGTGTGTTGCTGCCACAAGCTGTTGACAAGACAGTGTCAGAGCTGAGGCCAAACATCAGGGAGACTGTAAGGGAACCTATCTGATCTGAACAACCGTGACTGAGTGACAACTCAATGAAAAACATACCCAACACTTTCTACTATACACACAGCATATTGAACATGTAGGCCTACAGTAGTACAGGAATAAAGTACTATCTTTTCACACCGATTATATCTCACCTTAAGGTGAAAACAAAAGTTAATGAGAGGTCTTTTTAAAATCTGGACTACATTTTACC